CCTGATTTTTAGCAGCACATACAGTTAGAAGCAATGAAGTGACCTGACTCGCAACAACGCAAGTCGCGCAATTTAGCTCGTTTCAAACGTACAGAGGGTGCAGACGAACAATACGATTACCAATGACAGCTGGATATTGACATTTGATAAAAACCGGATCGCTCTTCGCATCGCCTCACCTAGCTCTAGCTTATTCTGTCATCGAGTAACAGCCTGAACTCCCCTCAAAGCCCGCAACTTCCACAAAACCTTTGAACCTTAATTCCATGGGCTCATTCAGAGCTCCTAAACTGTTTATTGCTGCAATGTGAGTCGGTAGGCATCCTTTGCATAAAGAATCTGCCGTCAGCAGAAAATCCGGTTCTCTGAATGCAATACATGAGCACTTGACGAAGACGAGGTGTTTGGCGAAGCATAGTGCTATAGGCACGAACAATCAGCATTCACCTCGTGGACCTTTTCCACGCACTGAGTGCAACAGAGATGGTGCTTTCGCCTGCTGAAGCGGCTACTGTTACTTCTTCAGATTAGTTGTTAGCGACATCGGAAAAAATAATCTGTGTTTAGACGAGTGCGATTCCATACCCATGAAATTGAGGAGAGCTCATAATCTGCCTGTATGAATACCTTCAGATCTCTCATTCAGCAAAAAGATCTACATTTCTCAAGTGATGCGCATCGTATTATCTTGTTGCGGCAAAAACACGCGTTCTGTCAAAATCGCGCTGCTAGCTGCTATCTTCTGTGTGGGACTCGTCGTTGGCTTTAACACGACCGAAGCTCTCCAAGGTGAAAATGATTTCACAGTCATGAGTTCAGCTTCACTTCTCTCTGTCTCCTACCGTCTCACCTCGTCCTTGCGTAAACGCCAAGTTATCCGATGCTTGCAGTGCTGGGTTGGGTGGGCACAGAGATGATGTGGCTGATCGTGTGCTGGGGCCTGATGGCGCTTCTGTGCTACCTGGCTCTCAATCACCTTGGCACTCGCCCTGCCGACGAACTCACAAAAACCACCGTGCAGGCGGCAGAAGCGACGACGCCATCTCGACAGGCCGCGTGAGTTACGACAATTTTTTCTTCGCTCAAGTGTAACGATTTTCACTGGAACAACGGCAGCATGCATCTTGCACGCTCAGTCACGAATCGCAATTTCATGTCCCAATCGCCTGCGATTGTCAAGTCACTGACTATATAGGATCTCTGACAACTCCTTTCTGTACACCTTTTCTCCTGACAAAAAAGTTTTTTTGGGGGAGGATCAAACAAAAAAATGGATGTATTCTCTAATACTCATTTTGTAAAATTAATACTCCGTCCGAGCAGAAGACAATTCAAATTGATCACAAATGTATAAACAAAATGTGACATGCTTGCCTTTCTATGGCACTAATCGGCTTTCTTGTTTGTAATTAAAGCCGAACAGCATTACAAAAGAGCCTCTACGGCATTAGAAGTTGAAGATAAACTACATTTTCGGATATATCATATTTTTGAACCGTACAAACATCTTTTTGCTGTTACCTCTTATCCGAGACAGACTATTTTTTGTCATTTGCATCTTTACTGCAGCATCTTCTGCAGCTTCTCAAGAGTGCATCATTCAAAGTTTGTACCATATAATCGGGGTTGGGAAAGTATTAGTTAGATGCGCGGATTATCCAGTAAATGCTACTGCCGCTCTTGTTAATCTTCTGTGCTCCTTAAGTCTTACGGAATACTTAGATTGAATGATGATATGTGACGTTTTGCTTTTGCCGGTGGTGAAAAAGTTGGATTTGTTGTGGAATTATGGTAGAACGATGGGTTGTAATGGCTTCTATAATAGGCTTCTCTGCCTATTCAGATGTTGTATACACACTCCCTTGTTTACTTATCTGATTATAAGTATTTTTTCCACCAGTGTTTGTGCAGCACTACAGCATCGCTGTGCATGAGAAGCTCGAAAGGGAAGGGCTGTTTCTGCTTCGAAAATCAAATAGGCAAATTTGCAGCTCAAACAGCGAATGGACGAACGAAGTGTTAGCATGGATATACAACAATTTCTTAAGAGTACCCGGGCCTTTGGAAGCATGGATAAAGTCGTTAAATGACGCTGCCAAAAAAGTCAACCGACCGGTAGGTTTGGATTCCAGAAAAACGCTTTTTAGAGAATATCTGCAGACCGAATGCGAGGTAATTTTTGACGGGTTTGGAGATCACATGCACGTAAAGCAACCACCCAGACTGAGCCACATACGTGTTGAACACGGTCCACGTGAGCATTTGGTATGTCTAAATACTCGAACATGAAGGGAAGGGGGTGAGGTTGATTTCAGACGCTCAGAACGAATATCCATCTGCCATGCGTATGCCTCAAAGTCGTTTCATCTCAGCGTACGCCTGAGAGACTGCTGGTCAGCAACTTCGACGCGAACATCGTTGACCTGCGCGGGGAGGTGCGCCACTTGCTATTTGGCGGATCAGCGATGTGCTCTTTTGTCACCTACATTGTTTCTGGAGGATTCCACCAAATGCTAACTGCATCTTGCTCTTCTTTACTTATTCTCACACATTATTTTTTTAAATTTCCTTTCTCTCTGCTAGGATGTCTCCTACTCTCAAATACCTCCTGCATTACTGACAAAGGGAAGAGTACCTCGTTGGTGTGGCGTCCCCGCATGTGCTGTATACTCTTTTGCATGGCATGAAATGCTAATCCTAAACCTCTTTCGCTATTGATAAACGCCTCTAGGAAAGGAATTACGATAACTGAGGTAAAGTTGTGCACGCGACTTAAGTGGTTGTACAGATCATTCGTGAGCTTTGGTGGAGTCGTTGTAATTTTCAAGGCACTCCATGCAAGGCATATTTTACGCTCTAATATACTCAGCTCCTCTACACTGTCCCAAAAAGATGTGCCTACTGTTTGATTGTTAATAACTCTTTTGTAATGAAGCCCTTGAAGCGTTAGGTAAGATTTTGTAGAGTTGGCTTTAACTTAGACTTACAGTACGGTGCGAATCAAACTGCATTACTTTAGGATCACAGTAGGAACTTTGAGGAAAGTTTGAGTAAATAAAGATCATATTTTATCCCAAAAACAGAACCAAAGAAGCTGCCATTAGACTAGGTTAATCAGAAATCTCAAACATGAGACTTGCACTTCACCATAACGCATTTTTCACAAGTTATGCCAGATCTACCATGACAACCAATTTCTGCTATTCGTTATAAATCTGACTGGGCCGTTTAAAAAGCTCTACGAAAGCTCAAATTTTTATGTACTCAGCATGCGTGAAAACCTAGTGAACAATCTTGGAAATTTTTTGGTTCTAAATACTCTTGTGATGAAGTCTTTCCAGAACCTTCACGTA